AAAAAGTCAAGACCCATTGGTGTGCTGTGTTCAGGAAACCCATTTCACATACAAAGACACACATAGATTCAAAATAAAGCGATGGAAGAAGATTTACCAAGGAAATGGAGAACAAAAAAAAGCAGGGGTTGCAGTCCTAGTCTCTGATAAAATGGACTTCAAACCAACAGAGATCAAAAGAGACAAAGAAGGGCATTTCATAATGGTAAAAGGATCAATCCAGCAGGAAGAGCTAAGTATCCTAAACACATACGCCCCCAACACAGGAGCACCCAGATACATAAAGCAAGTTCTTAATGACCTAAATCAAAATTTAGACTCCCACAGAATGATGGTGAGAGACTTCAACACTCCACTGTCAATATTAGACAGATCAATGAGACCAAAAATTAACAAGGACATCCAGGACTTGAATGCAGAGCTGGATCAAGCAGACCTAATAGACGTATATGGAACACTCCACTAAAAATCCACAGAATATACATTTTTCTCAGCACCACATTGCACTTACTCTAAAATTGACCATATCATTGAAAGCAAATCACTCCTTAGCAAATGCAAAAGAATAGAAATCATAACAAACCATCTATCACACCACAGCACAATCAGATTATAACCCAGGATTAAGAAACACACTCAAACCTGTACAACAACTTGGAAACTGAACAACTTGCTTCTCAGTGTTGACTGGATAAACAATGAAATGAAGGCAGAAAGAAAGATGTTCTTCAAAGCCAATCAGAATGAAGACATAACTTACCAGAATCTCTGGGACACCTTTAAAAGTGTTGAGAGGGAAATTTATATTAAAAAATGCCCCGATGAGAAACAACGAAAGATCTAAAATTGATACCCTATCGTAAGAATTGAAAGAGCTAGAGGAGGAAGATCAAAAAAACTCAAAAGCTAGCAGAAGGAGAGAAATAACTAAGATCAGAGCTGAACTGAAGGAGACAGAGACACAAAAACCCTTCCAGAAAAAATCCATAAATCCAGGAGCTGGATTTTTGAAAAGATTAACAAAATAGACTACCAGCCAGATTAATAAAAAAGAAAAGATTGAAGAATCAAATAGATGCAATAAAAAATGCTAAAGGGGGTATCACTACAATTCTACAGAAATACAAACCACCATCAGAGATTTCTACAAACAGCTCTATGCACATAAACCAGTAAACCAGGAAGAAATGGATAAATTCCTGGACACTTATACTCTACGAAGACTAAACCAGGAGCAAACTGAAACCCTGAATAGACCAATAACAAGGGCTGAAGTCGAGGCAGCAATCAATAGCCTACCAACCAAAAAAAGTCCAGGTCCAGACAGGTTTACAGCCGAATTCTACCAGATGTACAAAGAGAAGCTGGTTCCATTCCTTCTGAAACTATATCAAACAATACAAAAGGAGGGAATCCTCCCTAACTCATTTTATGAGACCAACATCATCCTGATACCAACCAGGCAGAGACTCAACTAAAAAAGAAAACTTGGCCAGGTGCGGTGGCTCACGCCCATAATCCCAGCACATTGGGAGACCGAGGCGGGATCATGAGGTCAAGAGATCGAGACCATCCTGGTCAACATGGTGAAACCCCATCTCTACTAAAAATACAAAAATTAGCTGGGCATGGTGGCGCCTGCCTGTAGTCCCACCTACTCGGGAGGCTGAGGCAGGAGAATTGCTTGAACCCAGGAGGTGGAGGTTGCAGTGAGCCAAGATCATACCATTGCATTCCAGCCTGGGTAACAAGAGTGAAATTCCATCTCAAAAAAAAAAAAAAAGAAAAGAAAAAGAAAACTTTAGGCCAATATCCATGATGAACATTGATGCAAAAATTTTCAATAAAATACTAGCAAACCAAATGCAACAGAGCATCAAAAAGCTTATTCATCATGATCAAGTAGGCTTCATCCTGGAGATGCAGGGCTGGTTCAACATATGCAAGTCCATAAATGTAATCCATCACATAAACAGAACAAGAGACAAAAACCACATGGTTATCTCAATAGATGGAGATAAGGCCTTAGATAAAATTTAACAGCCCTTCATGCTAAAAACTCTCAATAAACTAGGTATCGACAAAACATATCATAAAATGATAAAAGCTATTTATGACAAACCTACAGCCAATATCATACTGAATGGGCAAAAGCTGGAAGAATTCCCTTTGAAATCTGGCACTAGACAAGGATGCCCTCTCTCACCACTCCTATTCAATATAGCATTGGAAGTTCTAGCCAGAGGAATCAGGCAAGAAAAAGAAATAAAGGGTATTCAATTAGGAAAGGAGGAAGCAAAATTGTCACTATTTGCAGACTACATGATGTATATGTAGAAGACCCTATCGTCTCAGCCCAAAATCTCCTGAAACTGATAAGCAACTTCAGCAAAGTCTCAGGATACAAAATCAATGTGCAAAAATCACAAGTATTCCTTGTGATAAACTAATAATAGACTTAAAGAGAGCCAAATCAAGAACAAACTGCCATTCGTAATTGCTACAAAGAGAATAAAATACCTAGGAATACAACTAACAAAAAATGTAAATGACCTCTTCAAGGAGAACTACAAACCACTGCTCAATGAAATAAGAGGGGACACAAACAGATGGAGAAACATTCCATGCTCATGGTTAGGAAGAATCAGTATTGTGAAAATGGCCATACTGCCCAAAGTAATGTATAGATTCAACACTATCCCCATCAAGCTACCTATGACCCTCTTCACAGAACTGGAAAAAAACACCTTAAACTTCATATGAAATCACAAGAGAGCCTGCATAGCCAAGTCAATTCTAAGCAAAAAGAACAAACCTGAAGGCATCACACTGCTAGACTTTAAACTATACTGCAAGGCTACAGTAATCAAAACAGCATGGTACTGGTACCAAAACAGAGATAGAGACCAATGGAACAGAACAGAGGCCTCGGAGGCAATGCTACATATCTACAACCATCTGATATTTGACAAACCTCACAAAAACAGGCAATGGGGAAAGGATTCCCTGTTTAATAAATGGTGTTGGGGAAACTGTCTAGCCAAGTGCAGAAAGCAGAAACTGGACCTCTTCCTGACAACTTACACTAAAATTAACTCTAGATGGATTAAAGACTTAAACATAAAAACCCTCGAAGAAAACCTAGGCAAAACCATTTAGGACATAGACATAGACAAGGACTTCATGATTAAAACACCAAAAGCATTGGCAACAAAAGCCAAAATAGACAAATGGGATCTAATTAAACTCCAGAGCTTCTGCACAGCAAAAGAAACAATCATTAGAGTGAACTGGCAACCAACAGAATGGGAAAAATTTTTGCAATCTACCCATCTGACAAAGGGTTAATATCCAGAATCTACAAAGACCTAAAACAGATTTACAAGAAAAAAACAAACCCATTGAAAAGTGGGCAAACAATATGAGAGACACTTTTCAAAAGAAGATATATGTGAGGCCAAGAAACACAAGAAAAAATGCTCATCATCGCTGGTCATTAGAGAAATGCAAATCAAAACTACATTGAGATACCATCTCACGCCAGTTAGAATGGTGATCATCAAAAAATCTGGAGACAACATATGCTGGAGAGGATGTGGAGAAATAGGAACACTTTTACACTGTTGGTGGGAGTGTAAATTAGTTCAACCATTATGGAAAACTGTGGCGATTCCTCAAGGACCCAGAAATAGAAATTCTATTTGACTCAGCAATCCCATTACTGGGTATATTTCCAAAGGATTATAAATCATTCTACTATAAGGACACATGCACACAAATGTTCATTGCAGCACTGTTTACAATAGCAAAGACTTGGAACCAACTGAAATGCCCATCGATAATAGACTGGACAGGGAAAATGTGCACATATACACCATGAAATACTATGCAGCTATATAAAATGATGAGTTCAAGTCCTTTGTAGTGACATGGATGGACTTAGAAACCATAATTCTCAGCAAACTGACGAACAAAATCAAACACCACATGTTCTCACTCACAGGCGGGTGTTGAACAATGAGAACACATGGACACAGGGAGGGGAGTATCATACACTGAGGTCTGTGGTGGGGGGATTTAGGGGAGGGACAGTGGGGGGGTAGGGAGTTTGGGAGGGATAACATGGGGAGAAATGCCAGATATAGGTGATGGGGATCTAGGCAGCAAACCACATTGTCATGTATGTACCTATGCAACAATCCTGCATGTTCTTTACATGTACCCCAGAACCTAAAATGCAGTAAACTATATTTTTGTATATATATAAAATGCCAGTGTGGGGAGATGTTCTGTTGAAACAATGTGATATAGGTCAAATGGGTATGGAGCACTCAGGGAGTTAGAATACACATATACAGGTTGTTTAATTTGGTTATTTTTCAAAATTATTTGATCATAGCATTTTTTTTACATGACACTAATAAAATCCTTCCAAACTAAAATTATTAGGGATACATTTAGAGAAATATGTAGATATGGTAAGTATCTAGTAGGTACTAGATACATGTCTGGTTTTTGTGATCACATAGATACTTCTTACTTATAAAAGTATTATTAAATTCCTATTTTAGTCATTTTTTTAAAGAGCAGTTACCGAATTTTAACAAATCTTAGTGGGATGACCATGGTTTTCATTTGCTTCTACTGAAGTGACAAATGATATTAATTCATGGATGTTATTTTATAACAAAGCTGCTATCAATTTGTGTAGAGTTTTATTTAGAATGTTAGATCAATATTTATAGTTGAGCTAGGTCTAAGAGTTTTTTAATGTCTATGTTAGTTTTGTCGGGGTTTGACATTTAGGACTACCGTGCTTCTGAAATTAATTAGGTTTCTGAGGGAAGGTGTTCTCTTTCCAGGGTCCACAAGGTGGCGTAGTTTTAAGAGCAAGAATTTCCCACCGCCATGCCTTCTTCCCATCTCTCTCCATCCGGGAGATTTAAGTTTGAATTTCACCGACAGGGGAAGAGACTGAGAGTCAGTCACTCCAGGGAAGTTCTAAGGAACTCCTTTCACTGGCCGGGGGTCTTGGAGAAGGTGGGGGTTCCTCCCGGGTTACAAGTCCCCTCTTCCACACCCCTTCAGACTCCATGTTTGGGTCCCCCCCACGAGCACTCCCTTCCTGGAAGCCGTCTTTCTCTCTCCTGGATCTCCCCCATGGAGTCCCCTTCCGCAGTCTCCCCCGGAAGACGGTCTTCCCTCCTGAACTCCGTCTCTCTCTATTCCCTTCCGCTCTGGGTGGAAGCGGCTTTCCTCTCCTGGATTCTATCTTTCTGGATTCTCACTCAGTGTGGGAGTCACCTGTTTCTCTGTCTCTAAAGAAATCACTTTCTACACACACTTTTGAGTCCGGCATTGACTGCACACTGCGCCGTGGGCCCCTCTCATTCTCCGGAGAGCAGGAAACCAAGAACCTGGAGAAACATCCTCTCAGGGGAGCTGAGGGTACCCTGAACCCCAACATTACATTTTGGCGAGCCAGCCAGGAGAGGGGTACACCACAAGAGGAGGGGTACAGCCGGAGAGGACGACTTCAGAATTGTGAGTAAAACCAGCCCCATTCTGTCCTGTCTCTTTAAGAACCCCTGAAGCAGCCGCAGCCAGGCGGGGAAGCTGAGCGGCGGCGCCCCGAGGCTCGGCCCAGCCCCTCTTAAGTAGCGCAAAAGTGCAGGTTTTTACCTTCAGGCTCTCTCTCTGCTTTCCGTCTCCTTCTCTATCCTTCAGATATTACTTCTGGGACCAAAACCTGAGGGAGCCTGTGGGGCAGAGCGGGCGAGTGCAGCCCCGCGCCTTTCGCTCTTTGCCGGCGGGAGCAGCCCAGCCCTGGGCTGGAGACAACAGCGGGGAGGGGCGAGGTCTGGCCGGAGCCTGCGGGGTCGGGGGAGCGTGAGCCTGGCGCGCGGCTCTGCAGGCCCCTCCGGCATCCCCCAGTCCCAGGCAGCAGGGTAAAAAGGCTCCCCAGGGCATTTGCCTGCCGGCCACTGGTCCCTGCGAGGGCAGCAGCTCGGGAAGTGGTCTGGCGGGGTCAACATGGCGACGGAACGCTGAGGGCACGGGGAACTGATGGCAGCTCAGCAGCAGCTGTGAACACGGCTTTTTTTTTTTTTTTTGAGACGGAGTTTCGCTCTTGTTACCCAGGCTGGAGTGCAATGGCGCGATCTCGGCTCACTGCAACCTCCGCCTCCTGGGTTCAGGCAATTCTCCTGCCTCAGCCTCCCGAGTAGCTGGGATTACAGGCACGCGCCACCATGCCCAGCTAATTTTTTTTGTATTTTTAGTAGAGACGGGGTTTCACCACGTTGGACAGGCTGGTCTTGAACTCCTGACCTCAGGTGATCTGCCTGCCTTGGCCTCCCAAAGTACTGGGATTACAGGCGTGAGCTGCTGCACCCAGCCAGTCCACAGATAATTGTACTGGCAGAAGCATTTTTACCCAGAAAAGAAAGTGCACATCTATTCCAGTGAGGTCAGGTTTATGCCTCCACCTTTGTGGAAGTGGTCAGGGTAACCATCCACTGCCGGGCAGCTGGCTGTCTTCCCGGGGAAAGGGGCCACCGTGGAAGCCCATTGCTGGTCTCTAATGTTGACAGATTAGGCACAGGTGTTAACTGTGTTAGCCTTGGCAGAGAGTTCGTGTTAGTGCTCATGCAAAGATCCCCATCCCTAACACCAAAGCCTCTTGCACATGGACAGACAGATGTTCCTTGACTCATGATGGGGCTATGACCTGACAAACCCATGGTTAAGTTGAAAACATCTAAGTGAAACATGCATTTGATATGCCTAACCTACTGACTCTCACAGCTCAGCCTGGCCTACCTTAGACATGCTCAGGACACTTATATTAGCGTATAGCTGGGCAAAACCATCTAATACAAAGCCTGCTTTATAATAAAGTGTTGAATATTTCATGTAATTTACTGAATACTGTACTACAAGTGAAAAACAGAATGGTTATATGGGTACTTGAAATACAGTTTCTACTGAATGCGCGTCACTTGTGCACCATCATGAAGTCAAAAAATCCTAAGTTGAACTGTCGTTAAGTCGGTCTACAGAGCAAGAACTGGGTCGTTGGGAAGGGGACCCGTTCATACCCTCCTAGTTGGGCTCTTAACAGAGCCTCCACTGCAGTGGCATGCATATCTCTGCTTATTCTCAGAGATCCAGCCACAGATGCCCTTGCCATTAATTTTCCAATCGTGTTGTCTCCAGGTCCCTAACAAACTGCCAAACCATTAGCCATTGGCCATGAGTCAGTGTAATTGTACTTCCGGCTACCTCTTCTAAGAGGACAACAGATGTACTGATTGAAGTTCCTCCCTCTGCCTTTTGGGGCACTACTGATTGGTTTCCAATAAGCAGCTGCCAGTTCCTGTATTGTACAGAACTAACTGTAAGTCAGAAACTTCCTCCCTCCTCAATCAATGAGTCGGAAGGAACTCCCCATGAGGTTGTGGGAGTGGACTGAGGGAGAAGATGTAAGAACAGGAGCAGCTTTCAGGGGATCTGAGACAGATGCTCATGCAGATCACCTGTGCTCTCTGCACCTCCTTGAGCCTCATTCATTAGCCATTTCTGTCTGGAAATGTCCGGCTCTGGACCTGTACATCCCCTGCTTTATGAGTCACACAGACAGCACCCCATCCATGATGAGAAGCTCAGGCCACATAACCATATGACGTCCCCTGGTCAGCTGTTCAGTCCGTGTCAGGTGCATTGCAAGCCAGGAGCCACTTCCCAAAAGGAGAGTAATTACCTGAATAAGAGGGCAAGGCTTTGCTTCTAAACCTTAGAGCCCTGCATGATGAGTCCCCTGCCGAAGCTGTCAGAGGCTTCCCACTGCATTGCTAGTTTCCATAGAGACTTCTAGCATTGTGGATATTCTGGGTCATAAGGCCCAGGTGACAGTGCAGTTTTCTCTGAAGCCTAAGCCTGCTGTAAACACCTTCTTGCCTCTGGTCCCTATTTAATGCTGGAAACCTAATGGGTGGATGGATCAAAATAGCGCATTTAATGTGATGTGTTTCTTCCAAAATTCAAAAAGGAGACCCACCATGTAGTTGCATCTCGTTTTCAGTGATAAGAGAGAAAGGTACAACAGTTTTCACTTTGGATCGAATACCCCGACACACTCTGTTTAGATTCAGGACTCGTCTCTCATCCTCCAGCTTGCATTTGCCTTCTTCCTATGGTATCTAAGGAAGTCGCTATTTCTGGTGCATCAGGTCTTACCTGCATAACACTGCCAATGTAGTGGACCAGTAAGATGTAAAGACTGTTAAGATTTCTGCTGTGAGGCAAAAAACTTGAAAGTGTGCTATTGGTTCTGCCAGTTAAAACAAATGGCTCCTCATGTTTCTTGGAAACTGGTGGAAAGAGAACCAAGCACCTGACACATTGGATGTGATGTACCAGATGCAATGAGTTGGGTTGATTTGCTCCAGGAAAGATTTTGCATCTGGGGCAGCAGCTGAGATAGAAGGCAGCATCTGCTTACATTTACGATCACGTATGTTCTCCAAGATCCATCTGCTCCTGACAGACCAAACAGATCTGTAACATGAGAAAAGTGATACGTATCACCACTTCTTCCTTTGAGTCTTTGATGGTGGCTTTAATTTCTGCAGATTCTTCTAGGGATGTAGTAAAGCTTTGGGTTTCTGTCCTAGCAGAGGGGATGTTCCAGGGCCTCTCTGCTAGGATAGAAAGTAGTGCTCACTGTAGGGGTCAGAGAGCCACTGTGGGCATTCTGCATGCCACGTTGAGTGTGGTGACTCTAACTGTGCATCGAGGACATGGAGAAGTGATGGTAGGGATGTCCTTGTCCCTACATGGCCTGCTGTGATTTGGACTTGGGCTAAAACTCCACTTGTCAAATGACTATCAGGACAGCCCATTCCTTCCACTTTGGCAGTGGATCACGTGGATGTTTTGGGTCCCTGGGAATAAGCACCCATTCCAAGCTAGGGGCTTGGAAGGCACAAAAGTTCCAGAGATTCTTCTTTCTAGTGCATGATCTCCATTTCTTAAGGTTGCATGTCCTCTGGGAGAAGGCATGGAGGAGGACATACATGTGACAGGGTTGCAGGGGCCTTCCTTAAGGTGACTTGGTCTCTTCAGTGAAGGATCTGCGAAATGGCTTGTGTCTAGAAACTGGAGGAAAGCTTTTCCATTGGAATGATGCAAGACTCTCCATTGTGGTGACTCCGCAGACGAAGAGCTATGTTAGGAGGCTCTCCAGGCACTGCATTCCCAGGGACACTGTGGTCCATGAGCCACCTCATACCAAGGAATGTGGGGATCAGAAGATTCCCATTCACCAAGTAGCTCCTGCTGCTCATCACTCTAGTGATGCCCACCTTGACTCTGATAGTTAAGTGCTGCCATTGGCCTCTGCTGGTCATCTTCCCCCTGAAATCAGGGCACCCATCTCAGTAGAAGCATCCTGCAGGGTCACACTGGCATCTGGGAGATGGGCCCCAGGGAGCTTTCCTAGGACACTGCTGCTTTGCCCACTGCCATGATTCTCAGTGTCTTAGTCAGAGAATGTCCTGAGAGCCCTCTTAGGGGACGGAGAAGGTGGGGCTGGGTGTACAGGTTGCATATGATAAATCCAGCCCTACATTCCCATCTTCATAAGCCTTTGAACTCTGTTCTTCACATTATACCAGGAAGGTTCTGGAATCCCAACCTTGGTCAATAGAGGCTACCACTAAGTTATGATCCCCGAGCCAAGCAGACCGTTGGAATGCATCTCAGTTACAGTCGCTAACATGTTCAATCCCACATCTCCAGTGGTTTGACCCCTATCAGTACCCTTAGCCCTGTCTCATGCTGTGTCCTCTTCCTGTTGGTTCACCATCCTTACAGTTTACTCCTACACATGTTGCAAAGTTTAGGTGAGCACAACCTTGCATTTTATTCCTTGGCCAAGAGAAAAAGGCTGAGTCTTAGTTGGAGTCCACGAGGCTGCTGCCAGATGATTAATCAAGTAGCATGTGAATCCTTTTGTGTTACTGCCTTATACATGTTTTGCCTTTATGAGTTCAATTTCCAGAAGGGCCTCCCAGGAAGAACTAAAGTGAATTTGTTGGTGGTCCCTTGAGGACTGAGTGAGCCACCTCCTGCATGCGTGCTCTCTCTCTGGCCAGCGAGAACAACATCTAGAGCTTCTTTGAAGTTTTACCTTAGTTAGGGCTGTTGGACAAAGAAAATAAGTCAATGCCGTCATTTGAGAAGCCGCAAAACTTTGAAAACAATTTTTTAAGGAGACTTGAATGGAGTAACTGGTGTGTATTTTGTAAAGCTTGGGAGAAGCTTTGAAGCTGGCCCTAAGCAATGCGGACCAACACGTTGAAGGCTTCTTTGAATGCTGGGTGTCCAGGGCTGTTAATGCCTTCCTTGCACCTGCTATGAGGCTCAAAATAAAAATAACAACAACAAAATGAAAACAAAAAGTCGATCTCTTGATTAAGGGAAAACGGAAGGCCACCAGTGTCAACACGTTGATTTCAGTTCTCATATATGACAGTAATATT